AAATATATTTATATATGAGGATGGGGAAATAGATCTTTGTGCATACATTTATAGGTTTAGTATTAAGGTAGCAGAAGGACATTGGGCCTCCACTCAACTGCTCTTACACTTTTATGTTTCAATTGCCAGACCAAGTTGGGTTTTGCCACAGCATGTCTTTGCCTACGCCGTTTTCTCATTCTAAAATACATTTTTCTCTGCTTCACTCTTCCAAGTCCTTCCCCTGGATAATGCTCATTCATTCCTTCAGATAGCAACCAGGAACAGGGGTTGGGTCCCTACCCTTTCTGCACATATGAGGGAACTTAAAAAAGTTCATGGAAATTTTGAATTAAGATATAATGGAGTTTTTCCACAAATTTTTTGAACCCTCCGAAAGAAAACCGGTCCAAAAAAAATAACAAACCTTTCCATTAGGTTGTGATTGTTGACTACACTTGAATCCTGAAAACCCGAGTCTGAAGAATAATGTCTGACAGAGAGAATATCTAATCCCTACTTCTCTGGCACTGAACTGGATTGACTGCCTATTATGGGTAAGGATTTGGGGCAAAGTGTCTGCGGAATGTCCTCAAGACATATCACGGTCATTGCAGTAAAAGGAGATGGGACTTTGTCTTAGGAGAGACGGCCAGACAGAGACCAAATGAACCCAGAGGGGAAAGTACTACACATACCTGAGGCTCAAAGCGAGGCACTTGTTTGTCTTTGGCGACCTTGTCTTTCTCAGAGGACTTTTCTTTGCCTTTCCTTGTTGTTTTGGAAGTTCCCGAAGTCTTTTGCCCTTCGCTGACAGTGTGGGAATCTGGGCTGCCCATGGTGATGGATTCCTCATGCTTCTCCCCTTGAGCTAGAGAGACCGAATGGAAAGCGGCAAACAGTGACGTAAGAGTAAGATACTGTCTGGGATGCGATGAAAGAAGGTCTGGGAAGAAGAGCTACCTTCCTTCCTTTCCTTCTCTTTTCATTTCTCTCCTTTCTATGCCAGCAAACAAAGAGATTCGTCATTGGCTTTATTTTTTCAAAATCGAGATAAAATTCACACACCACGATACCATGAAATTCACCATATTCAAGTATACAAATCAATGTGTCTTACATTCAAA